CCAACGAAAAAACTAATTTTGCCTAAAATTCAATTTTGCCTGTGACATATATTTTCGAAGAAAATAGCCGATGTTAAGGTTTATTCATAGCAACTGAGGACAACAGGTGTAAAACTGCGTTCCAACAGTTCCTTGCCAACGGAAGAAGACACTGAACGATATTAATGAGATAAATTACATTATTCTAGAACATTCCAAAACCTTCATTGAAATTTGATTGACTAGAATACGATCATGAATATTTAAAATAGTGCAGTTCTCGATCTTTACAAAAATCAAATTTTATATTAAAGATATCAAGGATAATGGATAGTGATGCATTGATTTGTCACAGTCGACATATAACCAACATAGAAGAATGAACTGATCAAATTATGACTTTGAGAAATAATCACTATTTGTGTTTCTGAGCTTATCGGCATATATAATGAATGCATTGAGATTAGAGATGTGCGCAATCAAATTTGTTTGATTTCAGTCCTAGGACCTTTTTTGTACCGATTCCGATCATAACTTCTGTAAATTTGCTCTAATTTTGGTCCTAGTAACTTAGTTTCTAATGGTTCGGATCCTAGATATGATGGATCTGTACAACAGGTTCATTTGCTAATTAAATGAATGGTTAGCACATCAACTATAGCAATGTTAAGTTAAGAAAAACGGAACATGTAAAAGAAAAATAATGATCAAATACAAACAAAGCAAAGAAAAAATAGAGAGTCAGCAATATAAACTTCTTCTTGAAATGTCGAAATAATCTCTTTGGAGATCGATTATTCTTGGAAAAAATAGTCTTCAGGAGATTTTTCACTTAACGCATTTTGTATTAGTATCATGAAGTTCAAAAATCTCATCTGAGTTCCATATTTTTGTCTCAACGTAACTACTGGATTGATAAACTTTTTATTGAATAATAGTTCATTACATGAATAAATCAAAAATGCAAGTGAATGAACATACATTTCATAAACGAATCTAATTGATTGTAAAGTTTTGTGTTTGTTTTTTTTAAACGTATATTCAACATAGAAAAACAGAAGTATGTTCAATATCAATGGCAGTCGAAACTATAACAATGCTCAAATAATCGCTTTACAAAATAACTATTTGTTTATATATCATAATCTTTACTTCATTTCTTATTTAAAAATGTTCGTCCAAACAAACTAAGCTTCAATATTTCGCGGATGATTATGTGAAAAAAATCGGGAAAACTTTATAATAAATGTCTGGATGTTCAGAAATGGTAGATCGTCCCTCCTTTCTCTGAAAGTTTCTTACGGATCACCTCTTATGAAACGATTGAGAAATTAATTTTTTCGCAAAAATATCATATTTTTTTAATAAATTAGTTGAGACAGGGCTTTCTATTTTTAGCCTGAGAATATAAGGTTTCGATTTTAATTGTAAATAATATAATTATTTTAGTTGTTGGTTCTGCTGCATACAATCTTTTATTGATTTCTGCTCTATGTATTGCATCTATTAATTCTCCTGAAACAAGAAGAATAAAGTCATATCATGTTTTCTTAGTAAATATTATTTTTATTGAAATTTATCACATAATAATAATACTGCTTAATATAGCTTACATTCTCTTTTGGTTTATCTGCATACATTTGGTTATTCATCATGTTATCGGTAATATCAAAAGATGTTATTGATCTTTGGGAAGCAGTCATTACATTTGTTTTGTTTCCATTGATTGTTATATTATCTTATCTGGTATAAAAACAAAAACCACTAAGTTAACTAACCATTTTTCTTTGTATATAATTAGATTGAGAAGAATTCTTTTGATTCAAGCAAAATTGACATCGAAGAAGAGAAACAAACACTTAATTTAAGTATAATGTGTCAATATTTTGTTAACATTAATTAAATACATGTCATATCACCTTTAGCACCATCTGAGGTAGATGGAACTGATAGTGCAGTTGATTTTCATACAGATGAACTTCTTCAATTTTTAAGTGTAAGTTAATCAAATTTTAGAATTCATTGTTTTCTTTTAAATAATAAATAGAATCTTGGTCAATCAACTAACTTATCATTGGAAGATAAATCAAAATTATTTGCAAATAAATTAAGTGAAAACATGCATCGACCATCTATGAAATATCGAATAGAAGGTACACGAATGCTTACTGGTGGTAAATCTTTATTTTCCAATTTACCCGACAAACTTCAAGAAGTTCGTAAATATAAATAAAAAAAAGAAAGTCTTTTTCCTTTTTGTTTTTTACATATTAATAATTTTCATATCTATATAAATATCAAAACAGACATATAATGCAATGGATAAAAGAAATTCAATGGAAGATGATCAATCAGCATCGATTTTGGAAGAAATCGATGATCAACCAACAATCCAATTTTCTGCCGTTGCATATGCTGTACTCGAATTTGAACAAAAAGTTGAAGTTAAAATTGAACGAATTGGTCCGATTGATGTCGATGTTCGATTCAGGTATCTATATTCATTCGCTTATGCATTGATACCTTTTTTGACTGACCTCAGGTCAATGATTCGCGAGAACGGATACTGCAGGAAGATACGGAAAAAGTAATCGTATTCTGCAGGAAAACATTGAAAATCGCAGGAAATGAAAGAAGTAAACCAACCGGAGAATTTCTGATGGATTTCTGTGCTTTCTGGCAGGAATCGATTTATACTTTTTGACTCAGGAACCATTATTTGAAGTTTTCAAAATATCCCAACAAACCTGTTGTCGAAAAATATAATAAGAAATAGAATTAAAATAGCTTTATATAAAAAAAACTGCATTTTATGTCTGTTTTTATTTTATTCTATTGCACATTTCTTAATAAGCACAAACATTATTTCATACTAAACAAATTCTCATATACTCTACTGTTGTTTGATTAAGACATATATAATTATGTATTTATATTATTCATTTATAGACTTGATACAATTGATGGTACAGCAATAGCTGGTGAAGATTATATTAAATTATCTGAAGAATTTACCATAGAACGTGGTCAACAAGAAAAAAAAGTAACTATTTATATTATTGATGATCAGCAATGGGAACCAGATGAAACATTTTTGGTTAAATTATCATTACCTAACGGTGAAGGAGCTCATACAAAATTAGGTTCAAAAACAGTTGCAATTGTGACAATTATTAATGATGATGGTAAACAAGTTTCATACAAAAAAAAAACGAACAGATATTTTATTTCTTTCTGCTTATTTTAGAACCGGGTTTTATTAAATTTGAAGAAACAATTAATTTATGTAAACAAAGTGTTGGAAAAACAGAAATAAAAGTTGTACGTGTTAATGGTGCCGATGGACGAATTACTGTTAATTATCGAACAGAAGATATTGATGCTAGAGCAATAAGAGATTATGAACGTAAGTCAAACGAATTTTAACAAGTCGATAAGTTAATAATAATATATAATCTATCTTCTATGAGTAATTTGTAAAATACAATCGTTTACGTTCAACATTGATCTTACAGTTATCAGATAGTTTTATTTTTTCAATATGTCAAGACAATATAGCTTATGTTTCATAGTTTATTTCACCATAAACTTGCTATTCTAGTGATGGACAAAACTTGTTTGAGTTTTTCTTTTTTGATCTTAACAACTAGAAATAATTTGAGTAGTTGAAAATGATTCTCTATTAGGATGAATGGATCCAAATACTACAACCAAATGCTTAGATGAGTATGTCTGACAAAGCGAAACATTCAAAAGTCTTTTGGAAAAAAAAACTTTACTTGCTAGGAAAGATAGGTTTGTGTAAAACAAGACAAACATTGATATTTTGATTAAAAAAAGAGAAAAATGCTTTTTGGGTCTTCTATGAATTGAACGCTGTGTGAGAAAGGAAAGTCATGAAGAGGTAAAAGATGTTCTGTTTTTCTCAGAATTATTCACCCTATTAAAGAAAAGTTTTCCGTCAAAGTTTCAAATACAGGTCAGAGAACTGATTTTGAGCGTCATGGTTTCCAGACAGTCTCATACAAGTAGTTTTGATGGAGTATTCGCATCCATCAATCGTAATAGAGAATCCTTCCAGTTACTGAAATACTTTTTTTTAGATTCTTCTTGTCTATTACTGTTGAAAAGAAGACTTCAAAATACTGGTGCTCTACACTTTCATCCGCCACTATAATGGAAATATTGCAATAAAAAACCATGTACGTTGTACTTTTGAACAGGAAAAAACCATTTCAAATATTTGTTTGTACTATCGCCACACTCATATGAATCGGCAATATATTATCGACTGAGAGAATAACTGTCAGTATATCACAGTTGAATGGCATTTAGAGAGTAGTCAACTGTTTAACTCTAAACTACCAGCGCTATTGATACGAGTCAATTCATATTGGAAGCCATTTATAATGTTTCGATTTTTTGCTATTTTTCTATGTAATATATGATCAATTTTGAACATCATTGTGTATAAATTTGAGCTTTGTTTTTAAAATAAAGCATTTTATGAAACTTGAGATTTCACGTATTCGATGTATCATGTATCAAATCATAGAAATATTATTCTGAACATTTATCTATCGAGACTGACAAATACGGAGTTTGTATACATTTGTGTACGTTCCATATTTTATTGTACTACGTGTTTCTGTACTGAATTATGACCAATTTACTAAATTTCCAGCTTATTTGTCAATAGTTTCTGGAAAATCGAATTATAGAATTTTGATCTACGATTTTGCCTATAAATAGGTCCAATGATTCTTAGAATATCCCGTAAATTTCAACTGAAAAGAATGTTCCTTTGTCAAGATATGGAATTTTCAAAAATAGGTCTTTAACATAAAAAACAACAATTTTACTTGAAAATTCAATAACTCGATGATATAGAATATTCTTTTCGGTTGAAATTTTCAGAATATTCTAATCTATATGTATAATGTTCAGTGTCTGCGTGTGTCTGTGCCGGGTCAAAGGTTAAATGCACCTCATGGGCCCTAAAGATCTATCCTACGGAGAGGGTACCCATAGATCCTCAAGGACGATTGTATGGGGATGTTCATAGGTTCTAAAAGATCCGCTTAAAAATCGATCTCAGCTCAGGAACATTGAGATGCCATGAAAATTTGAAGATATGTTGGAAGTGTAAAAGGACATCTGTGGTAAAATTTTCAGCCTCCTATCCTGAAGTATAAGGTAGATACGAACCAAACCAGGGTCGAAAAATAGCTTATCGTGTCTCCAAAAAAATCTCCATGGATGTTCATTCAATATGGTTGATTGTTTTTTCATACGAAAGAGCATGTCAGGATGCAGTGCCTATGAGGACCGTTTTTTTTATTCTTATCTTAATGAAGAAAAAAAGGCTTCACAAGTTCAATAACTCAAAATCCCTCAAAAAATGACGCTCCTTTATCAAAAAAGGGGCTTTCATAAGCACTGTAGTTTTTGATGCTCTTTCAAACAAAAAAAAAATATTTGACTTAGTATCGCTTTATAGTTGACTTTCGCTAGAGATGCGTCGTTCGAACACCACTTTGAGAAAAAAAGACACACATTTTTGAATTTTTTCAAAAACTGCTGGTTTTTGGAATAGGAATTGTCAAAAATCTTCAAAACTTTTTCAGAAAAATAGAAGATATCGAAGAAACATTTTTATCGTTTATGAAAGAGCATATGACACGCTATCTTCCTATGTATTTATCTCAATTTCAATGATTCTGACGAAAAGTGACTTTTTTGAGGGGGAGGGCCTTAAGGGTCACCCTATGGAGGTACCCATAGGTCCTGAAGGAAGTAAGGCAATAAAGGGATATTGCTACAAAGGAATATAAGGCTATAAGGCCGAAAGCTAATGAAGTATAAAAATATGTGTCATATAAGAATATGAGGCCGTAGACTATCTATATACACAATGTGGGATGTCTATATGGCTCTTACTGCGTGAAAGGTTAAAGCTTTGAGGTCATACGTTAAAGGAGAAAACCGCCGAGTAGTATGTACGGTCTCACGCTAGTAATTTCACTATTTCCAAGTCTACTAAAATTCTATTTCAATTTTCTTTAATTTTGTATCTTCTACGATAATATATTCAGAAACGAAAAATTAATACTCTTTTTTTTTGTATGCTCTTTAGCTATTGATAGTGAATTAATCTTTGAACATAATGAAATATCAAAAGTTATAGCTATACCAATTATGAATGATCCTGAGCAAGAAAAAGATATAAGTTTTGCAGTTGAATTATATAATCCAACCGGTGGTGCACAAATAGGAAAACACAATAAAACAGTTGTAACAATTATAAATAATCATGGTAAAGCTATTTTTTTTGAGATAAAAAACAAGAAGCAAATTTGATTTCAAACTATTTAGATTATACAACAATGGCAAAGAAAATGGCATCACTTGTTCAATGTGATATTGATAAATTAAGTGTAACAAAAACAACATGGAGACAACAATTTATTGAAGCTATGAGTGCAAATGGTGGAGATTTAGAAACAGCTAAATTTGTTCATTATGTTGGTCATTTACTTTCAGTTTTTTGGAAAGTTCTGTTTGCCTTTGTACCTCCAACGTCCATAGCTGGTGGTTGGTTAACATTTTTCATTTCATTTGTTTTTATTGCTATACTTACCGCTATTGTTCGTGATGTCGCTGCTATATTTGGTTGTCTTGTTGGATTAAAAGATAGTATAACAGCTATATCATTTATTGCACTTGGTACATCATTACCTAATACATTTGCATCAATGATGGTAGCAAAAAATTCTAAAACAGCTGATGATGCTATTAGAAATATTATAGGATCGAATAGTGTAAATGTATTTCTGGGTCTTGGTTTACCATGGCTTATTGCTGCTATTTATTGGAAATCGAAAGTAAGAAAATGAGAAGATTCGATTACAAAAAAAAACGAATAAATTGTTTTTACTTTTAAGAATCTTCCATTTACAGTCAAAGCAGGTGATTTATCATTTAGTGCACTCATCTTTTCTATCTGTGGTATTCTTTGCATGATCGTACTTACACTTCGTCGATTTTTGGGTGTTTTTGGCAAAGCAGAATTAGGTAGAGAGAAAAAACAATCTATTTCTTGTTTCTTTTATTTTAGTTTTAGGTGGACCAACAATACCTAAATATATATGTTCTATCTTTTTTCTAATTCTTTGGATTGCTTACTTGACATTATCGAGTCTTCAAGCATATGGATATATTTAATGGTAAAGTTAAGGAAAAAAAAACAGAATAATTATTAGTGAAAGACTTATTACTATAATTTTTGCTCCTTTTATTATATTTATATGTTCATTTTTATTGCATTGCGTGTTTTTTTTGTGATTACATGTAGGCAGCAAAAGGAAAATCAAATGATGAGATTTCTTTTTGTATGAACAAAATCATAATAACAAAAATTATAGCATTTATTCGTGATTTATTTTATTATGGAACATACTAGTGAACAGATGGAAAATATTCATATAGTTTATCTTTTCTCTTTTAAAGTAAATTCATGATTGTATGACGTCTGTTTTCATGGGTACTTCTCATTTATTATAGTCCAGCGTTGTCTTGCATGCATTTTTTCATATCTTTATCTTATTATCCTTTAACAAATGTATTCATTTCAATCATTGCTTTTTCTATTTTTTTCAGGGTGTGGGTGTTGGTGAGTGTGGGTGTGGGTGTGGGTGTTGGGTGTGGGTGTTGGTGAGTGTGGGTGTGGGTGTTGGGTGTGGGTGTGGGTGTTGGGTGTGGGTGTGTGGGTGTGGGTATATTCTTTCTCGACACCCACACCCACGCTTCACCAGACCCACCCACACTCACACGCCTGCCCACTCCCACACACCCACGCCCGCACCCACACCCACACCCACGCCTACACCCACACCCACACACCCACGCCTACACCCACACCCACACCCACACCCACACCCACACCCACACCCCACCCACACCCACACCCACACTCCACCCACACCCACACCCACACCCCACACCCACACCCACCCTCATAAAAATAATGCAGTAGTGTGATTGTTTGTTTTGATATCGATATTGCAGAAGTTTCATTTAGACATAACATTTTAGTTAGATGTTTGAAAAAAATTTTTATAAATAGTAGTTGTAGCAAAGACAACTACAATGATACGCTTTTTAATCACTATCAATGCTTTCTTCATGAAAATATAGTACACTGATATTTTAATCATCTGTCCTGATAACGGCTAGCATCAACTGTCCTTTCATAGCTGTAGTGCGAGATATGAAAGGTGAAAGACACTAGCGTCTACTTTCTTCATCGTTTTTTGCTCTATCTCGAAAAAGAACTAAGTGTGAAATTCTCTTTTGCGTTTATAGTGATTCAGCGAATGAAGCCACTTGCTAAGACTTGAAAAACTTTCTATAACTAGTAAATTTTGCAATATTAAGCTTGAATTAGACGAATACATTTTTGCTTATTATTTTTAAGACGATCGTTATGCGAAGAACTGACTTGCGATACATATGTTCAGGAAGATATGCATTAGATCTCACATTAATTATTAATAACACAATATTATACACAATTCAATGTAAATTCTTAAAATAGAGATTAGTCATCTTCATAAAAAGTTTGCAACAATAACTGAATGGATGGTGACAATAAACAATATAGTGAGTTCCAGAGTATCGATATATTACTAATAGTTTTTATTTTGTATCACTGTTGAGGAAACCAGTTATACGTGAAGAAGCACGCTTGTCTTCTGTCGACAAAATGTAAATCATTTCATAAAAAATGTTCACTTTTTAGCAAATATAGGAAATATAGGATAAATCTTCGAAAAACAGGACATTATAGGACTACTTTCACATATATTAGAATTACAGGAAATATAGGACGACTACGAAACCTGTTTAATCTAGAATATTAGATTCATTAAAAATTTTACAGATTATGCATTTCTGAAGAATGCCCGGGCAAATAATAATGATAAAACTCTTTACTGCTTGAAAAATACACTATATTCATACATTTTCACTACAACATAGTGGATATACTTTATTCTCATTAATCGATTAATCGTCACAGAATGGAAAGGTAGTGATTTAAATCGGAAATAAAGCTCTTTTATTCTCTAGTATGTTTGAGGCCTAAAACAATACTAAATCAAACTATATCAGATGAAAAAAATATTATTTTTATTCAGATGTGATAAAACTGCACGTATACTGGCTCGAACTACATTAGATGGAAAACAAAAAAGATTATTTCAATTTGGATAGAATAATACTAAATGCACAACACAACGCAAATTCTTAGAATTTTTTTTGTCTTCAAGGAAAGAGCATTTTATGTTTATTCGTTTTCCAACGAATCCGAATGCTTCCTATATTCTTCTTATCTTTTTACATACATTTGTGTGCATTCTTAGTGTCATCGTCAATGTGTCGCATATGAAAAAAATTGCGATATCGGCAACAAGAATCTGAATTTTGATAATAGATGCGCGTAAAAGAAAAGTAACAATTATGATGATTAATTTTTTAGTCATGAAACAATGAAGAACGAAATAATATATATGAGATCAACGAAAAACGAAGTCTAAGCTAATAAATATTCTCTCTTAGTATAACAGAATTATTTACTTAAGTTTCTGAAACAAATAAGAACGCATTATGATTTTCAAAATTCATTTTTGAAGTCGCGAGAATGCATTCGGCAAATTTGAGAACGACAGAGAATACGTTCTTTTCCTTCTAAGAGCGATATTATATTGTTCGTAGCATGTTCATCAGTTCGACGAATCCATGTTTAATTATTCCTCTAGAGAATGTCAAAGAAAGCTATTTCATTTCAATGGAATCCTATCCTAACCTTTCCAAAGAGGAACGATATCGAAAGCATTTCAATTGTTAATGGAATGTTACAGAATGTTTTCTATGCAGATGAAGAACAATTTTGAACCAAGAATAAAGCGTTCTATAATAGTATGAAACGGCAAATAATGCATTCCTTGAGTTACAGAACATCTTTCGTCATTCATGAACGCATTCCACAATTTATGGAATGTGTTCTTCATGGAAGAGGTAAGTTTCCATGTTTTGATAAATGCTTTTACTTCCGTTTTATTTTTCATTAATATGTTTCACTGAGTAGCACTTGATTGACTTCAAGAACAATATTATATATGTCTCAACGAATTTTTTCTATTGAACATCATTAAATCATTATTATCATTAAAAAAAAATAAAATGCAAGATCGTGAATTTCGTTCATTCATATTTATTTTCTAGAGACTGTACAAGTAATTTTAAGCTGAAGACACAATTTATTGTGCTGTGTCATTTATAACAAGAATTTCTTGATAGATCGAGATGAAACTTTCTACAAATAGACTACAAACAATATTGCATATTTGGTGGAAGCTAAAGCTCAAACAATTGAATCTTTGCAGAAATATTATGACTGAATTATTTTCTTCTATTATCTCCGTCGAGACACACCATGAATAGAGTTTCACGAAACCTATCTGCTACGTTAGTTTTTACAGTTGGCATGAGCCATGAAACGAATCGTCATCACTAAAAATTCAATTCATTGATGGCTTTTCCTACATATGCGAATGGCAGACTATTCGAGAAAAACGGAGTTGAAAGTTGAAGATGATGGAAAAGCAGAAACCCACAGACGTAGTATATCAAACATGTCACTGAAATCGACTCATGTGGATCGAAAGTATCATTTTGAGGACGGCCACTGTATTGAATACTCTACGGTCAATGAAAGAATCTATCACCGAGAAACGATGCATCTATGTGCAAATACTTATTCAATAATAGTTCTCTTTCTTCTTCCCTTTTTCTTTTTTTTTCTTCTTTCCTTTCTTTTATTTTTTCTTGATTTTCGTTCTCTTTCTTTTCTCTTTTCTTTCTTGCTTTTCTTTCTCTTTTTTAACCATTCAATGTATGGTATGGCTATAAGTTATAACCACAGTCTGGTGAAGGTAATATCGTTGTTGAAAGGTCACGAGAAGAAAAAGAATTTGGCAATGAGCAGTATTTTCATTCACAATAAATTCTATATGTCTTTTTTACGCACTCGAAATCAATCCGTAGGGGCACATCTTAGGAAAAAAACTCTAAAAACAATCACAATTTCTCAGAGACGAAATTTTCTTCTTGAAAGTCTGAGTTTTAGCCTTTGTTTAAGGATTCTGATCATGTATCTGACATAATAAAAAGTATCGGTTGCTTAGAAAAAAGAAAAAGTTACTTTGACTAATTCTTTGCAAGATAAAATCTGTTCTTGCACAACTTGTCCCTGGTTTGACCCATATATGTAAAAATGCATTATACGAACACGTTCTTTTGCTCTCGGCATGTGCAGAACGAGTATAAATAAGGTAAGCAAAAGGCCTTTTTCATCGTATTTGTTATTATTCTGATCGGAAGAAGTGATATAGTTTGTTTTTTTTGGCAGTCTCTCTGCTACGTCAATTACCATTTCGTCTTACTATTACCCATGTAAAAAAAATTTTCTTCAAAAAACCATGAATTAATCGATTTTTAATCGATTATAATCATACGATTTTGATCAATAATTTAAGCAGTAATAATCATAGCAAAATCAGGTTTTAATCGATTATTTCAATTATTCTGATTATAATCGATTTTTAAAAGTATTCTAAATCGATTATAATCAGAATAATTGAAATAATCGATTAAAACCTGATTTTGCTATGATTATTACTGCTTAAATTATTGATTAAAATCGTATGATTATAATCGATTTTTTGATTATTTTTTTTTACATGGGTAACGATACTTAGATGGCCACGTCTTCATCGATTTTTGCCTTGATCAAAAATGATCATGCTAGTATAAAGCAAGTCTATCACATTTGATTTTTGAATGTTATTTTGAGTAATATTATTGATCCTCCAAATTGCAGAACTATGTCTTGACTAAAGGTAATTTTGACGAGCAGGAACGTTGGGCTAATGAATTTTGATGGGAACTCGCTGGACAAAGCGTTGCCGAAGAACTCATTGGTTATCCAGTCCTAGAAAAGTATGTAGCTGCCGAAGGAAAGAAATTAGTTCGTCAAGATCGTGCTGAACATCAAGAAGTAAGTCCTCTTTTGTTTTCTCACAATAATACGGGTCGATCAGATCTGAATTCATAGATCAGATCAAATGAGCGAAAGTACTCTTAAGACAAATCAGATCTTTTGA